GGCGGCCTTGGGAGGGCCCCGGGCGGGCCCTGACGCCTGGGTCGCTGCTGCACCCCGCGGGGCCTGCGCCGCCTGACTGAAAGGCGCTGTGCTAGAGGATGCGCGCTCCTCCCAGCCCAGCCGCCTGGGCAGGGGGCCGTCTGGGAGCGACAGCCGAGGGTCGGCTTTGCGGGCGTCGCGCCTTTCGGGGGCTTTCTGTGCTGCGGAGCAAAGCTTCCGAAGGCAGGACAGTGAGGGCTCTCTGCCCCCTACTCCTGAGCCCTGGTTCGAGCTGTCAGTCCTCCTGTGGCACTTTAGCTTACAATGCAGAATGTAACCCGTAGGTGTCTTTGTGTGTAGTGGGTGGTGGTGTTCGGCCTTTATTTGGGGGGTGGGTGGTGGGAAAGGGGGGCTTGCTTAAATCGAGGCAATATTAATTTACAAAAGGTGTTTTGTCATTTAGGTTTTCGCAGGTGGTTATGGTACACAGAGTAAGGGGGCGTCGTACATCCTTTAAGGGTGGTGGAAAACACTTCAGCCGTAGCTAGTTAATTACTGATAGCGAGGCCTCGGACTTTTTGTCCTTTCTGGGCCCTTACTTCACAAATAACTAGAAATTTCCTCGTGGGATTGTTGTAGAATGAAATGAAATAATGTGTAGGAGACTTGAAGGGCAATGCTTGACATTTAGCATTCCATGCTCAACATTGGTTCCTTGTTACTGCGTTCAAGTAATTTCTCATTTTATGCAACAAATAGAGGGTACTAACAAGATGTTAGGCACTGGACTTAAAATGCTCAACAAAATATGCGAGGTATTTGATTTTTAGAAGGAGCTGCTTGCCTTCTTGGACAGAGGTGAAAATCGTACATGTTTACAGACACAATGCACTTAACGTTAATGAGGTGCAGGAAGGGGTGGTTGCCGTGTAGGAATGGCGGCTGGTCAGATTATCTGTCTTTTCAGAGACAATTATTGTTTTTGTGAAAATTCTCACTTTAAAAATGTTAGTAATAAATTCAAAGTATTTTTAAATACCTGAGTCAAACAAAAGATATCGGTGGGCTGAATTGAGCACTAGACCACCTGTTTGCAATTTGTGGTGTAGGGAGAGGGGAATACAGACCTTAATCAAATAGACAGCTAATAAAAGTAGAATTGTAACCAGATATAGAAGGAGAAATAAGAGTACTGTGGGTAAATGAAGTTAATCAGGTTTTTATGCCACTAGCCTCAGTGTCTGTTGCCTGTGGCCTTGATGGGGCTAGTGCAGAAAGTGCTTGGGAGTGTGGGTCTGGGGCAGGCTTGCCTGATGGTGCACACCTGGACCATGGGTGTGCACGTGTGTAAGTGTGAACACCTGAGCCAGGAGGCCAGCGATATATATAATGTCAGCTACAGAAGAAATGAGACTGTGGGAGACTGCAAGAGAGCCCCCAGAATGCATACAGAGATTGGGGGAGGGGAAGAGGGCCTGGTTGAATCATCTCTTTTATCTTTAATTTATTGTGTTCTATAGAAATGACTGTATATGGATTTATTATGTGATACACACTTTACTAATGCATTATAGAATAAAAAAGTCTCAGGAAACTAAGGACCATACTGTATTCTTGATTAAAATTGTTAACCAGGGTCCTCCTTGGTGGTGCCAACAGGTTAAAACACAGCACTATGAAGCTACCTGCAGCTGCCTGCAGAATCTGCAGTACCTGCAGTTTCAGCACCAGTTCCATCCCCAGCCAGGATGCTGACCCACATGGCACAGCAGACCTTTCCTGCCTCACCTGCTGCTCCCCTCAGCAGTGTATTTCAGTAGACATGGCAGTTTTGCTCCTCACTCTGTCTCTGGTGAATTCTCTCACTGCCCCTGCACCTCTGGCCTGTACCCCAGTTCTGTATGCATAAATAAATAAATCTTTAAAAAAATTGTTAACCATACTTACATATGTTTTCCTACAGTTAAGAAACTCAGGAAGTTAGGGACTTTTTGTGCAGAAAGAAGTCTGATATATGGGCACGTTTTCTGTTTGAATAGCATTTACTATAAATGTAATTTAGATTTTCTCATTTGCAGTATATAGAAAACATTTTTTATATTTTCTCTTTACATCCTTTAATAAGTTCTTTCTGTAGCCCTAAGATCTACATATATTTTAACAAAAATATATGGAGTGTTTAATATGTGCTATGCCCTGAGATGGCAGAGTAGCTGTAGCTTTTTTTCCTGATTTTAGTTTATTCCTGCCCCAGCCCTGACATTTTTTCAGATTTTTTTTAGATTGATTTATGTATAGAAGAACTGGGGTGTAGGCCAGAGAAGTATGGGGGTGGGGTGGGGTGAGAGGATTCACCACAGACAGAGTGGGGAGCAGAACAGCCATATCTACTGAAATATTCAGGTAGCTCCCTGGCTGGTGATTCAACTTAAGCTGCAGTGGTTGGAGATAGCTTGATAGTGCTGAGACTTTAATCCCTGTGCCACCAGGGAGGCCCTCTTTTTCAGATTTTAACTTCATTTGTTGAAAGTAAAAATAAAAGTTCATTATTTCTAAACATTTTTTCCACCAGATCAATAAATCAGAAAAGCCAGAAAGCTGCGATAATGTGAAGGTGGTTGTTAGGTGCAGACCCCTCAATGAGAGAGAGAAATCGATGTGCTACAAGCAGGCTGTCAGTGTGGATGAGATGAGGGGAACTATCACTGTACATAAGACGGATTCTTCCAATGAACCTCCAAAGACATTTACTTTTGATACTGTTTTTGGACCAGAGAGTAAACAGCTTGATGTTTACAACTTAACTGCAAGACCTATTATTGATTCTGTTCTTGAAGGCTACAATGGTGAGTACCTAATATAGTTTTATTTTTTTAAGAAACAACTTGATGAAGGTATTATTACTACCCCTAATAAATCCACCCATTGTAATTGTAAAGTGGTAAGTGGTAGTAAATAGATACTTTTGAAACCATTGTCACAATTTAGTTTTATCATGCCAGGAAGTGCTTTGATGTTCACAGTCCTGCTGTCAGATAGCTATTGACCTGACTTCTGTGTGAAGTTTTGCTTTCCTTTGAAATTTTGTAAAAATCAAATTATGCACTATCATGCTCTCCGGTCTTGTTTTCTTTAACATTATTTTTGAGGGTCTTCCTTGTTCCAAATGACAGTAGTTTTTTGCTTTTTATTGCTAGATTGTATTCCATCATATGACTTTACCAACTTTTATGTTACTTGATGGGATTGTTCCAGTTTTTTTGTAAAATACTGTTATGAATATTTAAATTGTTTTTTCTTAGAAAAAGTTCTCAATTTTGATTAAGTCTATTTTATTAACTTTTTTCTTCTCTCAGGCTTTTGGCACCATAAATAATAAATTTTTACCAAACCCAAATACACAGATTTTCTCGGATATTTTCAACTAGAATTTGTAAGTTTCTACTTACAGTCTGAAGTACAGGTCTGTTCTCTTTATTTCTGTATTTTTTTTCTCCCCCATTTCTTGTCTGTGGATATCCAGTTGTGTCGCATCATTTTTTGGAAGGCCAGCCATCCCATGTTGAATTAACTTGATGATTTTTTCAGAGTCCACTAAACACATGCGTGGTCTTATATCTGCATTGTCTATCCCAGGTTCTGTTTTTATTATATACTTAAAGTATAGGTTTTAAAGTTAGGCAGTATATGTTATTTAACTTTGTTCTTCTTTTTTCAAAAATATTTTCACTTTTCTAAATTCTTTCCATTTTCATAGAAATGTTAAGGCCATCAGGTCAGTTTTATACACACAAAGTAACTTCTGGATTTTTGACAGAAATTATGTTATTTTCAGATAATATTGACTCTTGTGATCCATGAACATGTTACATACAGCTCTCTATCTTGTTTGATTTGTTTTTTAATTATACATTTTCATTATATAGAAGTGCAACTGATAATTTTAGGTAGTTTTTTAAATTGAGATAGACTTTAACAGTTGACTATTTTAACCATTTTTCAGTATACAAGTTGAGTGGTTTTTAGTATACTTACTGTTCTTTGCAGCTGTCACCATTATCTGTTTCAAGAACATTACCATAACCCCCAAAGAACTACCTGCTAATAGTGGCATCCTCCTCCCTCATACAGGCATTGGCCATTTCCTCCTCTGCAACCATTTACTTACTTTCTGTGTGTTTAACTTTGCTGGTTCTGGGCATTTCATACAAGTGGAATCATATACTCTTTATGTACTCTTTGGAATCTGACTTAGCATTTAAAAAAAAAGATTGATTTATTTATGCATACAGAGGTGTGGAGGGGTGAGAGGATTCACAAGAGACAGAGTAGGGAGAAGAACAGGCAGACTGACAAGGTACACTGCTGAGGGGAGCAGTGGGTGGGTCAGGGAAGGTCTGCCATGCTATGTGGGTCACCTCCCTGGTTGGGAATCGAACTGGTGCTACAGTGGCTGTGATAGCTTCATAGAGCTGTGCTTTAACCTGTTGCGCCACCAGGGAGGGCCCTACTTAGCATGTTTTTAATGTTTGTCTAGGTTGTAGTTTATATCAGTACTTTCTTTTTTATGGCCACTTAGCATTCCATTATATGGATGTACAGTTAGGTACTTCTAATCATGGTTAAATTTTAAAAAATGCATTGTTAGGTAATTTTGTCACTGTATAAATGTTATATGTATAAGCACACCAGAGTAGTCTACTAGACACTCAGGCTACATGCTACAGCCTGTTAAACACCATTGTACACATTGTGGTCCATCATTAAGGAATGCATGAAAAGCTAATACTTTGTTTATCTGTTCATCAGTTGATCAATTGGATTATTTCCATTTTTTGACTTTCATGAATAATGTACATTCTTGTACAATTTTTTTGGTGTGGATGTATATTTTCATTTTCATGGATGTGGAATTACCAGGTTCAAAAAGAACTGACAGATTGTAATCCACAGTGCCATTTTTATATCCCACCAGCAATAAGGTTGATGGGGTGTGAGGTTCTCAGTTTATACTCAGTGACTGTAAAGTAGTATGTTAACTGTGTTTTGCAAATTGACCTTGTATCCTGCAATCTGTTTTTTTTTCTTTTTTTTTGCCAACTCCCTATGGTTTCTACACACAAGAGCATCTTGCCATCAAATATAGTACAACTTCTTTATTTCCAAACTTTTTCTCATATGATTAGAACTGGCTAGGACTCTAGTATATTGTTAGGTAGAAGTGGTGAGAATGGATATAGTGTCTTGTTCCTGATCTTATCAAGAAAACAGCACTCTTTCGTCAGTGAACCAGTAAGGATAATGTTATCTGTCCATTTTTCATAGATACCCTTTATTGGAGCAAGGGAATTCCCTTCTGTTCTCAGTTTGCAGACTTTTTGTTTTTAAAGATGAAATGGGCTTTTTTTCAGGTGCAGTTTTTTTTCTGCATTTATCAAAGTTAGCTTTTTTGAAAGCTTGTTAATATGGTCAGTTGCATAGAATGATTTTTAAAAGTGAAAGAACTGTGCCACTTGATCATGGTATATTATGTTTTCATATGTTGTTAGATTTGATTTGCTAAAATTGCCTAAATTTTTAGGTGTGGTATATAATTTTCCTGTAATGTCTTTATCTGGCTTTGGCATCAGGGTAATACTACACAGAATGAATTGGAAAGTATTCCCTCCTTTTTAACATATGGAAAAATTTACCTAGAATTAATATTATATTTTCCTTGAACGTTTGGTAGAATTTATCAGTAAAGCCTGGAGAGTTTGAGTGTGAATGTGTGTATGTGCGTGTGGTTGTAGAAGCTTTTAACTATAATTTATTTCATTAATACAGGGCTATGTGGGTTACCTATTTTTTTCTTGAATGAGCTTTATTAAGTTTTCCTTTCACAGAATTTGTCAGTTTTGTTAAGTTGTTGAATTTACTCAGGAAAAATTTACTTTTTTCTAATCAGTCCCCTATTGTTAGAATGTAGTAATCTTTCTCTTTCCTGATGTAGGTAATTTGTGTCTTTTTTCCCTCTTTTTTTGACTAGTCTGGTCTGAGGTTTATGATTTTTTAATTATCTTCTCAAGAACTGGTGTTTGGTTTTATTAATTTGCCTTTACTATTTTTATATTTTCCATTTCAGTGATTTCTGCTTTTATCTTTGTTTCTTTTCTCTTACTTGCTTCATTTTTCTTTTTAAAAAATTTATGCATACGAGTATTCATGTGTAGGCCAGGGGTATGGGGTGGTAAGAGGCTTCACCAGAGATAGTTTGGGGAGCAGAACAGGCAGATGTACTGAAACACACTGCTGAGGGGAGCACAGGTTGGACAGGTGAGGTCTGCCACGCCATGTGGGTCACTTCCCTGGCCAGGGATCAAACTCGTCTCCCTATGACTGGCAATAGCCTGGTAGTATTGAGTCTTTAACCCCTACGCTATCAAAGAGGATCCTCTTTTTCCTGGTTCTTACGATGGAAGTTGAGGACTTTGTTTTTCAGGCCTTTCTTCCTAATACAGAGCTTCCGTACGATGAATTGCCCTGTAAGTACTATATTAGTGGATTCCTATATATTTTGACCATACTGACTTTTCAGTCTCATGTAATACAAAATACTTTCAGTATTGCCTCTTGATTTCTTCTTTGATAAGTGAATTATTTAGTAATGTTTTAGATTCCAAATATTTTGAGATTTTTCCCACATATGTTCTGTTACTGATTTCTAATTTAATCCCATTTTGTTTCACTTTTGGTTGTTTTGGTGGCAGTAGATATTGTAACTGGCCTGTGTGAGTGGAGGAAGACCCTGCAGGTGTTAGGAACTTTGTCTGTGACTTTCTGTTCTTTGGTATGGAGCCCTACAAATTCTAACTCCTTTGGCCTCTGGGCTGGCAACTCAGGGATGCTCCAATCACTACTTGGGTCCCCCTCTTCCTGCCCTACAACCTGGATTATCTCTTAACACAAGAAGCTGTTTCATAGGAATACTTACAGTGTTTTACTCATATGGCACAGAGTACACATTGTAACTGTTGATAATAAAGACAAAATATGAACTAGGATAATTTTAAATCTGTGGAACAAGTTGGATTACAGCATCGAAGAATTCATTGTAAGAGTGTAGTTCTATAGCATTGGACTGCAAAAATCATTATTTTCTTCATTTCAGGGACTATTTTCGCATATGGACAAACTGGAACAGGCAAAACTTTTACTATGGAAGGTGTTCGAGCTGTTCCTGAACTTAGAGGAATCATTCCAAATTCATTTGCTCACATATTTGGTCATATTGCAAAAGCAGAGGGCGATACAAGGTAAAAGAGAATTCTTTTATTTTTTTTTTAATGTTGAGAAATACAAATGTGGAAAAGACATAGTTATTAATTTTATTTGTGCTCTTAGAAAGTGAAATAAGGGTAGTTTTATGTTTTTAAAAATGATGTTTTATTTATAGATTTTTGGTTCGAGTATCTTACTTGGAAATATATAATGAAGAAGTTCGTGACCTTTTGGGTAAGGATCAGACACAGAGGTTAGAGGTAAGAGAAATTGAAATTGGAGTTCTTTCCAGAGTAGAATATTTGCTAAGTTAAAGTCCTTTTTTACAATGGTGCTTTTAATAATTTACTTATTAATCAGGTAACAGGATCACATGATTCAAAGAAAATTTGAAAAAACTCCTGCTTTGAGTTCCTATCCCATCCCATTTCTCCCCACTCTGATACCCACTTTCAGTAAGCTTTCATTGTTTCTTTTTATATAAATACAACAAATACAATTTTATTTTCACCTGAAAAGTAGCATATTATATACATTGATCTGTCCATTTATGTATGTATTTATGTATAGAAAAACTGGGGCGTAAGCCAGAGGTGCTGTGGGTAGAAGATTCACCAGAGACATAGTGGGGTGCAGAACAGCCATGTCTACTGAAGTACATTGCTGAGGGAGCAGCAGGCAAATCAAGGGAGGTCTGCTGTGCCATGTGATTTAGCTAACTCATGCCACGGTGGCTGACGATAGCTTGTTAGTGCTGACGTCAACCCCTGCGCCACTAGGGAAGCCTGATCTGTCCATTTTTTAAATTAAAATTTTTTTGAGATGAATATAAATTCACATGCAGTTTTTTTTAAAGATTTATTTATTTATTCATATAGAGGTGGGGTACAGGCCAGAGATGCGGAGGGTGAGAGGCTTCACCAGAGACAGAGGGGGGAACAGAACAGGCAGATTGACGAAGTACACTGCTGAGGGGAGCAGCGGGCCGGTCAGGAGAGGTCTGCCACGCCATGTGGTCACCTTCAGGGCAGGCAGGGATCGAACTCATGAGGAAGTGGCTTTAGATTCTCAGTGCTGTGCTTTAACCCACTGCGCTACCAGGGAGGGCCCTCACATGCAGTTTTAAGAAAATAACAGATTGCTTACTCTTTATAGGGATTTACCCTTTACATACTTTTCCTCAATGACCTCATTTTGCAAAGCTATATTATAATATGGCTGCTAGGATATTGGTATTGATACACTTTACAGATCTCAGATATGTCCAGCTTTTCTTGCACTCATTTGTGTTCTGTACTATTATATCACATGCATAGGTTAGTATGTCCAAGGTACTAACCATTTTCATTAACATAGATGTTTCTCCTTAACCCTTTATAACCCCAGCCACCTTTCTTCATAAATATCACTTAGTCATAGAATTTGTGAGTCAGTACATTATACAATTAACTGACAAGCAGTGTATCTGATTCATGTTCAGGTACACTTAAATTACCTGAATTATTTTTTAAAATTGAGATAGAATTCAGATAGCTTCATATTTACCATTTTAAAGCTACAATTTAGTGTTTTCTGAGTATGGTCACAAAATTTTGTAGTCATTACTACTGTTTAGTTCTAGAACATTTTCGTTCCTCCATAAAGAAACCCCATGCTTATTAAGTTACTTTCCATTTCTCCATCTCACCATCTCCTGGCTGCCAGTAATTTACTTCCTATCTCCATGGATTTGCCTTTTCTGGACATTTCGCATAAATGGAATAGTATGATATTTGACCCTTTGTATCTGGCTTCTTTCATTTTGTGTAATGTTTAATCAGTACTTCATGTTTTAAAAGCTTTATTACTGAGTCAAATTGGCATACCATATAACTTACTCATTTTAAATGCACAACTCATTGACTTTTGTTATATTACAGGGTTATACATCTGTTGCCACAGCCATTTTAGAATATTTTTATTGAAACCCCAAACCCTTTGTTACCTCTAAGCCTCCACCATATTCTCTAATCCTAGGCAGCTGCTAATCTGCTTTCTGTCTTTACAGATTGTTTTTTGATTTATAAAGAAATACAGTATGTAGTTCCTTTGTAACTACTTTCATTCGGCATAATTTTTTCATGTTACATCCTAGTTGTAGCATGTGTCAGTACTCCATTTCTTCCTATTGCTGAGTAATAATGCCTTATATGGGCATCACATTTTATTGATCCCTTTATGAGTTGAATATTTGGATTTTTTTACTGTCTGTTTTTTAATGATGCCTTTTTAATGAACATTCTGGTTTTTTTTTTTTGTGTAAATGTGTGTTCAGTTCTCTGGGTTATGTGTCTTCGAGTGCAGTTGCTAGAACCTGTGGCAACTCCAAGTGAGGAACTGCCAGACTGTTGGCTATTTCTGCACTTTCTCACATTCCCAGCAACAGCATGTGAGATTTCTGATTTTGCCACATCCCTGTCAGTACATGTTACTATTTGAATCTTATTGTGTCCATTTTAGTGCCCGCAAAGTAGAATTGTATTGTGAGCTTAATTTCCAATTTTCTGTTGACTTATGACGTTGAACATCTTTTTATATGCTTATTGACTTTGACTACCTTTGGAAAAATAGCTTTTCAGAGCCTCAACCAATTTTGAGTTGAGCTGTTTGTGGTTTTATCATTTAATTATATGTTTCTAGAAGTCCTAGTTTCTATATATAATTCTCTTATCAGATATCGATTTGCAAATTTTTTTCTCATCTGTTTTCTTTGTACTTCCTTGATGATGTCTTTTGGAGCATACAAGTTTAAAATTTGATAGTGCCTGATTTTGATGGTGTATCTAAGGAACCATTAATTTAACCAAGGTCATGGAGATTTACACTTTTGTTTGCTTCTCACAGTCCAATGTTTTTATCTCTTATATTTAGGTCTTTTGAAACATTTTGATTTTTGTATGTGATTGATATACAAAGAATGGTTCTACATTCTTTAGCATATGGATGTCCATTAATTTTACACTATTACAAAGACTTCGTTTTCTCATTGCATTTTGTTTTTTATTTTCAGGAATTATGGCAAATTTTCTATCAGTACAAAGAAAGCATCCTCATTCTTTTTCACTTTTTCCTTTTGTCTTTTTAACAATCCATATAGTATTGTATGCACATAAATCAGTTTAGCCAGCCCTCTGTTGAATACTTAGGTTTTTCTTCTCTTTGACTTTTTTTGAACATTTTACTTTTATTCATATTTGCATAGAACTGGGGTGCAGGCCAGATGTATGGGGTATGAGAGGATTCACCAGAGACAGAGTGGGGAAACAGAACAGGTGAATCTATCTACTGAAATATATTGCTGAGGGGAGCAGTGAGTGAGACAGGAGAGGTCTGCTGCATCATGTGGGTCAGCTCCCTGGCCAGAGATCAAATTCAGGCACAAACTATTAAGACGGGCCTTCACCAGGTGGTGCTGAGACTTAACCCCTAGCTCACCTTCTTTGAATATTACAAATAGGTCTGCAGCAAGTAGCCTAATACATGCTTCATACATATACAGGCATATCTCTGGGTAAATTTCTCAAGTAGGACTATTAAATCAGGTGGTAAGTGACTGGTGAATTCAGTAAAATCTCCAAATTGTTTAGTATTTTAGGCAGACAACAAAAAAGATTTTCCTTTAAATATTTATATTGTTATTTTGATTGGAATTGTATTCTTAGTAAAACAGAGGACATGAATATATGTGGGATAACAGTAGGATAGTGTAGAATAACAGCAGCTGTTACCACTGAAGTCTTACAAAGTGGTCGTTGGTATTTACTGTAGTAAACAATGGAATTAGTATGCACTTAAATTTCATTTAACATTCCTAGCAACTTAATTTTGCTGTTGTGAAAACTCAAACCTGAAGGGATTTTCTGATTTACCTAACCATGAAATAGGTGAATGGTGGTATGTATCACCTAGGGTTAAGAGGGTTGTTTCTGTATTCCTACCAAAACTAGAGTTTTGGTTCTGATCTTGTGTCAGGTTAGTTAACCTATATGAACCTCAATTTTGCTACATGAAAATGGAAATAATAGTATCTACTTCACAGAATTATTGTGGACATTACCAAGTTAGTACAGAGTGTTTAATTCAGAGTGTTTAATTCACATAATATTCCATGTTATCTTTTTTCTTTTT